CATTTGCTCGCTCATTTTGGCGGATCAATCTTCCGAGGCGGCGGGATGGTTTCAATCCATGATGGCAAAGCATGGGTCTGAAATGCAGTTCTAGTCATATATGTGCTAAATGGCAGGAAGCAACCGATCAAAATATGGAGTCAGCATACAATTCTTGGTTTGGCTCTGCCTGATGACAAATCGTAATTATTTAGTAGTTGAAGCCCTCGGTAATAGTCACACCTTCAGTCCACCATCTCTCTCGGATCGTAGGTAGATTGTTTCGACAGTTTCCTCTACAGGGTATTCTGTTATGTGAGGCATTGTCATTCTTCTCAACAAAAATCTTCGCTGATAGTTGCAGATTACATCGCATACAGTGCCATATTGCGCGACAGAGGGGAAACGACGATTTTATGATATTGGTTGCATGACACTGATGTCTTGCTGGCAGGCTCGTTGATCCTATTTCTTCTTCGGGATCAGGTTCGAAATGTCACATCAGAATATTTGTTATAAATAAAATGCACATGATTGCAAAAATGTGTTCCCGTTTTCAACTATCTCGCTCTCGAGCGTCGCCAGCGACGTGTGGGAAAGATTTTTTCAAAATAAAAAAAATAAAAAAAAGACCCTAGACCAAAATTGTGGGTAGTCGAAGCCATATGTATCTTCGATGATCTAGTGGATTACTTATTTAAGGTACTATGTTATATGACTCTTGATCGTTTCAAAATAAATACAAAATTGCGTGGCGATTTGAAAATGTGGGTGAAGATGGAGCAGAGTGTTCCCACGAAAAACGAATTCATCTCCCCTGGAGAGGATTCCAGCAGGTCCCATTATATCGGTCGGTACGAGCCATCACTACGGCCAGGTCAGTGTGCCAAAATTTTCGAGCGCTGAAACGGCATGTTGTTGTCGAATAGTAGGTACCATCATTATACAAACGGCAAAGCGCTGCAAGAATGAACAACCCTCTTTTATCTGACGCCCAACAAATAAAAATAGTCGAGGGTTTCCTTGCATCTGAAGTGAAACAGCTATCACTCAAAGATCAAGCAGACGCTATCGATGATCTTTACTGTGTGGGTGGGGGATTGAACGAGCATCGAGCACTCGCTCAACAAGCACTTGTGGACTTTGATGCAACCCTCCAAACGATACGCAATCCAATTTACGAACTGGCTCACAACCAGAACAGATTGTATGTCGAGGATATATCATTCCGGCTGATCTTTTTGCGGGCAAATTTTTACAATGCCAAAAAAGCAGTTCATCAGATGCTGAGCTTCTTGCATAAAAAAGCAGCCTACTTTGGCGCAGACAAGCTTGCCCGGGACATTACACTTGAGGATTTGAATGAAGAGGAGATTAAGGCTATTCTCTCGGGCCCTTACCACGTCCAAGAAGACAAAGACCGCGCGGGAAGAGTTGTCGTCTATTTCTTCAGTACCCTGTTCGGCAGATACAAGGCTAATACGTTGGTGAGCTAATTTCTCAGTTGTTGACCCTCAATGTTTACAAGGTGTGCGCAACTCACCACTCACTGCATTTTACTGTTTTCAGATTCGAGTGACCTACTACCTTTGGTGGAACATTCTGCTTCCGAAGCCAGAGGTACAAATGAAAGGGGCGGTCTGGTGTTATTATGACTCCACGAAACCAGGACAGAATGTCCCCGTGCCCGAATCAAGAGTCTTGCCAGAACTCTTAGATTTTGCTTCTACGGTCCCCGTTCGCTATTCCGCCATGCACTATTGCCTCAGGACAGATGATGCAAGAGGGCTTGCTCTCAACAACCTCTTTCTCGGGTTATCGGTAAAGGCAATGCCGAGGTATTCGAGGGCCAGAACTCGTGTGCACTATGGAAGTCATGCGGAGCTTCAGTCTGAGCTTCAGATCCATGGTCTCCCAACAAGATTTCCAATCGACACTGATGGCAACCTACGGAAGCACCTTCTGAACGTTTGGTTCCATGTGCACCTCGCGAGGGAAGAAACAGAGCCCAACCCATACCTTGCCGATCTGGATTCGTCGACGGAAGACGATGAAGAGATTGACGACCTTCCACAAGAACAAGAAGCTAGCGTATATGAGCACATTGCTTCCATGACATCCCAATCTTTGGTTCTTAAGCCAACTGAAAATGATGTGCTGCTTGGACGGGGCCGAAGCATTCAGAATCATCCAGGCAACATTCGATTTCGCGAAATAGTCGATTCCTATCAAGATGAGTATGATCGAACCCCTCGGAACCAGCGACGTAATGTTTCGATCAGCGTGGCCACTCGTTTGAAAGCAAATGGGACCCGATTCCTTGAGCAGAGAAAGGACAGCCGTGGGTGGGAAGAGAGTAGCTTTGAAAAGTGCGAGTTGACCATTCGTCAACTCTTTCGCTCCAAACGCAAACAAATGGGAGTGTGAAAAAAAGGTGGCAGACTGGAGAAACGAATCAAACTATAGAATCGACGCCACTAAAATGTTCTTCTCATTCAATATCTGCAATGGAGAGCCCCAAGCACATGCTTGGATCCTTCTTGTCGAAGCTACCACTATGGAGTCAAATTCCGTTTTGGTCAGAACATCCTGCGGAAAAGAAAAGCTTCTTTCTCATATCGGATCAATCTGCTTGTAGCATTGGAAGTAGAATACGATACGAAGTATTACCGTGGAACTAGTAGATAAAAAGGATGGCTCCTTGTCACTTGCAGAAACATGTTTCGTTTGATGTAGTTTTATTACCTAGAATTTATTTATGTAAAGTCCGCATCATGAGTCAGGCTTGCTGCATTAATCGGACACCAGCGGCTTCTCGGTGGCTCACAAGTGCTTTTGATATCCACTGTGCTGTCCAACTCCCGTTGCCATTAATTCACAGTATCGCCATGCCAAGTGGCCAAAATGATTTGGATCGGATAGTGACGAGGGAATTTCAACAACATGCTGGCTCCCTGATAGCGCGAGTCCATTTTCGTCTTGTCGTATTTTCACACCTCCGCCGTCCGGCAAATTCGGAAATTGTTTCCATACATTCGAACAGCTGTAGCATTCTCCAGAAAAAAGATCAAGCGAATCGTCATCGATTGGACAAACAGAGAAAGTCGCGTGTTCACTGTGAGGATGATAAAAGACATCGCAATTCCCACACCGACGATTGTAGTCCAATACCTGGCCTACACAGCTAGGGCACATGTACTTCTTTTCGCGCTCGAGATTTACGGATGTATTGTGCTGAGTCCTGCAACGAGTACATATTCTGTTGAAAGTCAAAACCGACTGGCATCGAGTGCACTGCTCGTCATTCTTTTCGGCCCTAACTTCTGGTTCACTTTCAAGCAAACATTCCATCAAAATGATTTCACGGC